GCTCGAAAAGGAAAGGTAATGTTCCTCCGTTGCAGCCAAGTAACCATGTCTCCTTTACGGTTATTAGAGGTTGGAGTCTGGATCCTGCACACTATGATACGGTGCATTGTCCATGACAATGAGAGACTTGGTAGGCAAAGCAGGGACTAATTTATCTTTCACCCACTCCAGAAATACATTGCCGTTCATTTCTGTGTGGTAGTCCCTGTTGTCTTTGGCCTTGGCTCTAAAGACGAGGTCACATTCCTGACATTCACATTCACAACCCTGACTAGCAGAACCAGCATGGAGAACTATGAGTCTTTCACCCTTTCCCATTGGTAACTTTCTACCAGACTCCTTACAGTCACCACTGGGTACCCACTGACTGCTGGCTGTGTGTGACGCATTTACCCATGTCTCATCTAAGAAGACGGGCTCATATCCTTCTTCACGTTTCTGCTTGATTGTACGAAGGTAATGATTTCGGAGACGAACAATGTCAGACCGTTCACACAACACAGCCCTATTTTCTTCAGTTATCTTTTTGTATTTGTAACCAAATGTATGCAACAGCTGCCATAGTTTGTACTTTGTAACACGTAAATCATGGTCAGTTTCAAGGTGTTTCTTCAAAATTCTTAGGGACAGGTACTTATTTTCTGAGTGCAGTTTAACAATTGCACGTCTGACTTGATCCCTCTGAAAACTGTCTAATTTATCAACCTTGCATGGTTTTGACATGTTCCCTACCTCCTTGGCCTGACTATTTGTATCTCGTCGACTAACAACATTTTTAAGTTTCTGAGGGGACATACCAAGAGCTTTTGAAGCTCGTTTCAAGAATTTATTAATTGCATAAAAAGGGTTTGCTCTTTCTGCTTCACTTCTAAAGAAGTCATACACATTTAACATCAACTGTTTAACATCTGCTGAGTAGCGCATCTTGTCATTGAATGAACACGGTCACTGTGTAGCACGTGCAGACCGTGCTTGCGCTGTTCCTTCCACGGTTTGTCCCCCTACGTGTCATGTACACATTTCTATACAAAATTACATGATAGTTTCTTAAAGAACTTCATCCGTCATGGGTCTTAAATTAAACAAAATTCAGATTTTGTTGGGTACAGGGTATTCATGGTCAAGTACTGTATTGATGTTTCATACACTTTTCTGGATTTCGAGTTATTTTGCAATTCATCGTTCTCATTTGGAGTCAAACGCACTGTAGTTCTTGACTTAAGGTGTGGATATGATAATTAAAGGATGAGCAAACAGAAAAGCCCTACAATGCGATTAAGAAAATCAGAGGTGGAAGTAGGCAGGTTGGAACCCGTCTTAACCTTAGTTGCAGTTTTTTTCGTTTTGGAAACAATGGTACCTGTGTATTTCAATCCCTGCCTAGATCATACCAAAAGACATTCATAGATGGTACTTGTTTTTACCCTCCCTGGCATTAAGGGGCTAATGGTCGGCTCGTAGACAGAATACTGTGTCTGAGTTGGGTATTCATGTTAAACTGCAGCAATGTATCTCTCTCTCTCTTCTCTTCTCTTCTATCTCTTTCACACACACACACACACACACACACACACACACACACACACACACACACACACACACACACACACACACACACACACACAGAGAGAGAGAGAGCATGCAGTAAGTGCAATAATCTTGGACGCAACATTAAACCCCATTTCACCTCACCTCTCATTTTCTCCGCTGTGCGTTAGCACGAAGCTGGGGACATAGTATTCACAACCGTCCGTCCATTCCTTCCGGAAAATAGTTTTGGCACGATTTCTCAAGAACCAGTTGTTACATTTCATCTATATTTGGCACCAAGTTGTATATCGGGGATGTCCAGACGCCAGTCAATTTTGGTGACTTTGACATCATTTTCAAGGTCATTACAAGAATTTCAAGATTTGGACTTTGTATTCCTTCTTGGCACGATATCTCAGACCATGTTAATGAAGAGGGGATAGTGCTATGTCTCACAGAAGCCCATCTCCACTCCAAGATGAGTAAATACACTGACATGATTGTCTCCCTTCTCATTCATTCCTGCACAAGGCATCTGATCACGAAGTAGCAATGCTAGTTAAGAGAGATCTGAGTTACACACAGCTTCATTGTCCAATATCTCTTGAGCTCTCTTGTTGTCATGTACTTACCTCCTCCAGGCCCACTCAGGAACTTTCTGCGTCTTTTGGATGAAGCTATATTTTCACTTCAAACAGGAATGATGAAAACAGTTCTGACAGGAGACTTTTGCATGAATAATCATGCACAACTCTGTCAGTTGGTGAAAAAATTTGACCTTCATCTTGTGCAAGGCAGACATAGATCTAAAAACATCAAGGGTGGAGAACTTGATCAGGGCCCACTTTTACAAAATGATCTTAGTGCTAAAACTGTTGTAAGCCTATGTTAAAGTATGGGAGTTAAGATCATCTTAGCGCTAAGATCGCTTTTTGCAAGTGTGCCCTGATATTCACCACTGTCAACACTGTTGAACTGACACAACCAGTCCCTGTCTTCTTCACTGATCACTTCCTTGTGTGGGTGAAGATGTAGCAGGTTTGTAAACTCATGAAGCATAACTTCACTTACTCGACTTGCTGAGAAAATGTTCTACCAACATACTAAAATACTTTTAAATTTCAGGGAGGGATATTGTTTTATGCCTGGACCACTTGTTGATTTTGTAGGTTTTGAATTGAAATCCTTTTTAATGAAGAAAGCCTGTATTGTCCACCACATGAAATCACAACCCATTTTAGATAAAAGCAATTAAAATTGGTGTAGCTTAAATTTTTGTGGATATCAGGGAGGAATGATGTGTGACTACTTTACTTAAATTTAAGGAAATTATGAATGTTATTGTTTTGTAACGGCGGGGGACAGTGTCACACTGTGACAAATACTTGTTTATCATCTGTTTTAAGGTATTTCAGTTTTTCAAATTTGATTTTGGTCAAGCATGCATTACAAAACATGCCCTAAAGTATTAAAACCTACAGATGTTGAGTATATTTGTCCTTTAAGCAGTGATATATTTATGTCAGTATTGTGTGGCTTTTGTCCCTTCAATAGAGGATGCCAGTCCTCACCAGCTGCCATGGCAGAAGCTATGAATAGACAATGCCTTTCAGAAAGTGGTCACCCTCAGAGTGAGGCACCTAATCGCACAACTCACTGTTATTTACAGCAACCACAGTCAGATTACTACTATTGTCGCCAGAGAATGGATACATATATCATAAATGCCATACTTTAACTTGTATAAAGTCATATTTGTGGCAATTTGTGAAAATGTGAGGTTGACATATAATAGACAATCAAAATACATAAAGCACAGGAATTCACTTCGGTGACTGGTCAAATTATTCCATACGAAAACATATCATGCAATAGCAATCAGCTGTACCAAAGTGCTACGCTTATGGTTCTTATAATTTTCAATATGTACATTAAAAGCTGCAACTAAAATACCATGATATTTGAATATAGTATTTCTGATAAATGATAGTTTCAGATACACTTTCTTCCAACCATTGCATCAAAATTCTTTGAAGTTGTATCATTTGGTACTTTTTAACTTAATCACCGGTAGATTCCGAGAAAACATATGTTAAGCTGATTGCTTTTTCAGGGTTAGTTTACGAGAAAATACACATGGTAGGTAATATTAATCACGTACTGCATATAAAACAATACCTTGGATAACAGGAAATACATTTTAAATGGTAAATCAACATGTCTAGTGATGTTTTATATCAAATTTAATATTTTTATTGTCAAAGTTTGTTATACCTGTTAGTTCGCCTGAATTCACTGAAGGGATACAATGTGTTTGTTTTTTTACACTATTAATCATAAACAACTTCTATTCTAATCTTCTTTCAAAGTTTGAAAGTGCATGATGCCATCGTATATCGTGTTAGGTAGGCAGAGCATGTACTGTTATGTTGGTCATCTACCCCTTAAGACTCTACCTCGGTTAAACTGCTGATCGTCTATTATGCTCATCATTTATTTAGACCCCAAAGGTAGCGTTGTACTGAGGGATTTATTAAATGTGCTTCAATTTTGATTGTCCTAAAGCCTTTATATCCATTAATGAACGGATTTGTTTTGCCATCTTTGCCGACTAGCCTACCAAATTCTCGACAAATACGGCAAAATATTACATCCTTTTCCCTGTCTCACTCAAGCCAAGATTCGTACTTTGAGGTGGCCAGTTCTTTGGAATACCACACTTCACAGTTTTCTTTGGTAGGGTTTGATATTGTACTATCTGCTTCTAACTTTCGTTTCTGAAGCATGCAAACAGATGACGATGTAGTATCTACTGGTAACTCTTCATTTGATCGTGCACTGGCAAAGAATTTGGCAATTTTTTGCTGTTCCGTTATCATAAATATAATCGTCAGATGATACAGATCTTCTGTCAAAACAATTGTCATGCTCAAAGTGCATCTGCTTTAGAAACTACCCACAATGCAGTGGAAACCTTGTTTTTGACAGTAGAAAACAAAATGGCCACGTCCATGTTAAACTGTTGATCATCGTTTCCCAAAAAGGAAATTCAATTTGTTTTTGCACCTATTTATAAATTTCTTTTTACATACGAGTCATAATAATAAATATAAATACTTGTCAGTCACTTTCATTGATAAATTAAGTGTGCCATAGGGGCACGCAGGTGAGGAATTCACCATGCTATAAGTTTTAGGTGTGCCCTTGGCACAATGGCACTAATTATTTTGAACCCTGCATTTTCAACCTGTTGACCACATGTTCAAGCTGTAGGGGCATGGTACTTTTTTTATCGTATGCTAAGGCTAGTGGATTTCATTGAAATGATAAATGTCTAAAACGTTCATCCTACACATTAGGTTAACTGAAATACTGGTCTGCCTCATGCCCCTATAATGAAGATGTAATTTTTCATTGAGGGCAGTCAGAGCTTTCCTCATCCTGACTTGTCTTATTTGTTTCCTTATCAGGCAGTGGAAGGTGGTTATGCTGACTGTGTGGAACTACTTCTAGAAAGCCATGCAGATGTAGATGCAATGGACACAGAGGGAAATACCTGTCTTCACATGTCATGTCGTGATGGCAGTGCTGAACTAGTAGCCATGCTGCTGAAGAAAGATGCAAAAATGGATACGAAAAATAAGGTGAGGAAGAGGCAGTTACCAAATTTGTTATGTTCATTATATTCAAACTCTAAATATCATCTGACTGTTTCTTTGGTATTTGCCTTGACAAATGATCATAGTTTTGCATGCTTATCTTGGAAGACTGCAAAGCTCAACAATGACTTTTAGATCACCTGACGTAAGGTCAGCTGTGGTGTCTAATTATAAGCCCCACCCTGACTATAAATAGCCCTTAAGGTGGCGGTGTTTCAGTTTCGAACAGTGACTGACAATGTAAACACAACCGAGTGTCAAGAGAAGCTTTTTGAAAACCGTACACAAACAAGATCACCATTGACCGTCAATCTTCGTATCAACTTAAATGGCACACCTTGGATACCATAAATGGCTCCATATCTAGATATAAGTCAATAAATTTTCTGTAGTTTTATCATATCAACTCTAATCGATCTTGTTTGGCGTCAATAACAGTGGGCTGAGCTTATTTAGGGTTTCGCTATAAATAGCAATGCACATGGTCATGTGTACATGTGCCACATTCCATGCATTTGTAGTCAAAGTGTATTGTGGTATATATATTTACACCAGAACAGCAGCCTAACAATAGTTTCAGTAACAGTAACGATAGATAAAGACAAAATTGACGTTAGTTACATATGTATTAGCGACAAGATTCTTTCAGTTCAATCCGAAAAGTACAGATATTTGTTTAGTTTTGGTCACTTGCATTCAACAGTTAGATCTATACCACCCAAAATATCAGATTATATTTATAAAAGATGTTTCAACTAGTGTTTAGGAAGAGGCCTAATTTGAAGCACCAGAGGTTGCGTCAATATTTCTCAGCTTGACTACAATATCTACATTACAATGCTTATAAGCAACTGATAAATAAGTAACGAAATATAGTAGATGTTTTGACCTACATTAGGCCTATCTAGATAATATTGTACTTACGATAGACAAAATACTCCAATACACATATTCCAAGACAACTTTAATTATGGATTTCTTTTAGATCATTAGATCTACATGTGTCCTATTTATGTTTTGATCGGTGGATTTGGATAGACTTCGCGCACAAGTTTTAAAATACAATCCGGCATCACTTCCTCTTTTGTCCACACCAATCCTTCATCTGCTGCTATGTTTAATATCTGTTTCTTCAAGTCTGTGTATCGAGGATCTCTCCAAACACTTTGTCCATTTAGCTCAGTCAAGAAGTATTTGTAGCACTGTTTTCGAATCAACAAATTTCAGCAACATGGTGGCCGCACCATTCCCAAACTGCCCTTGCCTGTGCTCTGTCACGCATGGTTGACAAAAGCAGTGTAAACAAACATATTTGCCTCCATCTGGTTTCACAATAAAATCTTGCTGTGACATTGATTCACTAATCCCAAGAATCGGCACTGAATTTGTCAAAGTTTCTGTTGTACTTGCAAGGGCAAGAAGAAAGGCGACATCTTGTCTGAATGATGTCATCTTGAATTGGAACTTTCTCCTCGATAAAGTCAACAATGTCATTATCTAAATGACCAAAGGCTCCCTGATCATCTCTAACAACTCTCCGTCAAATTAAGGGTCACACGAAAATGTTTTGTTGCTCATATTGAAGACAAGCGAACTGGCAAAGTTCTTGACAGTTGTTAGCAGCAATCCAACTTGGATGCGAGCATGGGGCGTCGTTTCTTGGAGATCGCGTCTTCAGAAAGGTGGAAAAAAAATGTTTTAGAAAATTATTAGAAATCTGCATTGCAATCTCAAAATACCATGTTCAGCATTTTTCTTAATAATAGTATTCATGAAAACATTTCTTTCCTAAAAATGCCAATTAATTTATTAATTCATCCCGAGGTCATAACCCTGATCACGTGGATGGGTATTTTGAAGGCTGTGTTTATTACATTGTTGGAATCAATTGACCAGGAAGATTGTCGAGGCATTGACATTATGACAGATGCCCGTTATGGATGGAGAAAAAATACATCTGAGAGCAACATTGTTGCTTTTAGCTGCGAGACTGAATATGTGTTCATGCCGAAGTAGTTACCAGAGAGGATGATCTGTGTAGCCAGCAACCTGAATAATCTTGATGAAAATTATTTTGAAATCCATGTTCACTCAAAAGACAGACATGAACAAATATTTATCGAAACATCGTTTCGGAGTATGTGAGGCTGTCAGTGTTTTATTTGAGTTTCCCATTTCCATTCCATTGTGAAATAATATAAAGTTTTCGTGTCTCAATCTTTCCTGCCGCTGTGTAAAATTGTGCACTGATCTAAAAAAAAGAAATACTCCTAGAGCTAGATATGCCATTGCCCCATCATAAAAGAATCAGGTCAACTTTATCTTTCTTCGGGGTGGTGGGGTAGCCGAGTGGTTCAAAGCATTTGCTTGTCACGCCGAAGACCTGGGTTCCATTCTGTACATGGTACAAGGTGTGAAGCCCTTTCTGGTTTCCCCTGCCATGATAATGCTGGAATATTGCTAAAAGCGGCTTAAAACCATACTCACTCACTCATCTTTCTTCGATTGTTTATTAAAAATTCGTTTCTGAAGCAAAACAACTCGATCTACATCATAAATTTATTTATAGACTAAATTCTAGTACCGAGTGTTTAAAACTTTTTTTAAAATGGCATAAGACAACTTACACAATTATTGAAAGACAGTTTGTAATAAATTATATATTTTATTTCGTCCGCCTGCTCTCTAGTTAGTTGAGGTTTGAGGTGAAAAACACATGCAAATGACACTTGGCATGCCACCAACAGGGAATCTGGGTCACATGGACCCGCCAATATTTACGGATCAAGTGACTTCAGCATGGGGAGCTTTTGGACAAGCGTGACTTTGCCAAAACACATTGCTACTGGGCAATGAAAACATGTGATGGAAATGACAAAAAAATACTTTCATCCCTTGAAAATATTTTGGAACATTACCAGGGTATTCACGATCCTTGTCATTCAAATTCCAGATGAAGGCAGACGGACACATCGAAAAAAACAAAAACACTTGAAATCGCTATTTTTTACTTATCCTGCATTACTCCTTAATGCATATTACTTGCTTGTTCTTGACAGAGAAAAGAGCTGTGTGAAGGTCTTTGCTTGAAGAAGTTGCTCCAACTAGCTGAGAGGCCAACCAATCACACAGCTCCCACGTGACCACCGGAAGTGATGTCACGGATCCTCACATTACTCTCGTCACTTGATGAGAGAAGACCTGTTTTTTTGCTGTAACATAAAACTGATTCAAACCCTCATGTGTTTGCTATCTGAGTTAATGTTGTTTTGTCTTTGTGTTGTGCCTACGGTTTGTATTTTGTACATTCTATGTTTGATAAACATGTGCATAACGTTATTAGACACTTACTGGCGTTTTCTCAAAAGAAAACATAAGGCCAGGTGTCTTTTTGCTCCAAGTAGCCATCTTGAATATTTTGCGTAGCCAGCAGTTTGTGAACTGGTTGGCGTTCTATATTCTTTTGCTTGGTACCCCACGATTGGCATATCCTCGCAAGTATTGTTTGTTTTGTTGTATGTTGTCTTACGTTTGTCGTAATATTTGTTTCATAAACCCACACAGTGGGATAAACGAATTATAGCACACATAATCAGGCGGGGACGCATTGTGATTTTACACTGCTTCGTTAGAGCAGATATCATGCCCTCCTGCTCAAAGTGCTGGCGTAATATGTCTTAATTGTACATCTCAATGCCGCCAGGGTCACTGATGTCAAGACAGTACCTCCGTGTGTGTAAAAAACGCAGAACACAGCAGGCCAGGAAACACCGGCGCACGATGTCAGACTACTCCGAGGTTTCGCCTTCTAGATCGGCTATCTCGGATGACCACCCCCAGACCTCAACTGCTACCTTGATGTCAGACCCCATGGTTGTAGTCTCTACCCAGAGCACTTTGACAACCACGACAGCGTCTATCTTTACGGCGGCGACCACCTTTATGCCTGGCGTGGCACTCACGTACCAGACGGCGCCTATACTATCCTCCGGACAGACGCACGGTCTCCCACAGGCGTCCCGCCTACGGCACAGACGCTCAGTCTCCCACAGGCGCCCCCGCCTACGGCACAGACGCCTATGATAGACGCCTCTCTCCGCCAGTACTTTCAGTACTTACAGGCCAGACAGCCGTCGACGCCAGTGCCTTTACAGACGCCTCTACTAGCGCCTATACAGATAGCGCCTATTCTTAGACAGTGCTGATACAGACACCAGCGCCTTGTCGGACGCCTATACAGACGCCAGTGCCTCTTCGGACGCCTCTACAAAAGCACCGTCTACAGCGTCCGTAAAGTGTCTATCCTGGCGTCTCGGGTTGTGCCTATCCTTGCGCCTCTCCCAAGTGCGACTCTACAGGCGCACACCCAGGACAACCGTGCAGACAGACGATTAGCCATTCCACGATGTCCTTGTGGCTACCTGCTCTCATTCTACAGGCCTATGAGATCGTCAGCTCCCCAGGGCCAACTACCTTCGGAGACCAGAGCGGTTGCTGGACACTTGATTGGCGTCCATACAACGGCGCTCCAACACGGACACTTGATTGGTGTCGATACAACGGCGCTCCAACACGGACACTTGATTGGCGTCCATACAACGGCGCTTCAACACTTACCAAGGTTGCTGGAAGCCCCCAACCTTGTGTTGACGGTTCTGTGCACATCTCCCACCAATTCTCCTCGTTTATCAACGTTTGTTGAACGTTTCCTCGGAGAAAGCGAACGTACTCTCAAAGATGTCCCTACCCACGGCGTCTGGTAGATATTATCTGCACCACAGTTGACGATCACAACCCCATGACCGATTCGGTATTCAACAGAATTGTCATATGCTCCCGGGTACCCAACTGGGTCATTGTTCCCAACACCGACCAGTCGTCACTCTTATCATGGGGATCAACTAATCAGGTCAACAGACCCTATGAGATCCGTGCAGTGTCTTTGTACAGACCGGCATGCATGATTGCTTATGCGTAACATTTCA